AGCCGTTTTAGGGGGGCGTGGCAGAGTCTTAACTTTGATAAAGAATATCTCTTTGGTTTTGAGACTTTAGTCTTTGCAACTTCAGGGATCTTATCTATGCACAATCAGCTTGTAACACTCCAAAGAGAAAGGAAAACTTGAAATCGCATCATATGACCCCTTTAATATTAATATCTTTCCTATAAATGCTCCTTACCTGGTTCATTGATTGAAAGCGCATGTTGGAGCACGTCAATCTCAGGTTGTCCCGAGAATGCGAGAAACTCCCTCTTTTGAGGAGTTTATAAACTGATAATTGTCACATACAAATACATATCCCCTATCCAGACTCCTCAGACTGGAGAAGAGGCTAAAGATGAAGAGGAGGAAGAGGTTCTGGATGAGGAGACGAAGCGGCGTGATCAGATGGTGAAAGGTGCCATAGACAGTCTGATCCGGGAATACTCCAGCGAGCTCTCAGCCTCCTCACAGGATGCTGAAGCCCATCAACGCAAGAAACGTAAAGAGAAGAAGGAGGTATTTTTACTTTCACCATGGTAACCATACTGACCTAGCAGCCCTGTCATAATGGCTTAACTGAAATACTGGGACATGTCATCATTTACTCACCCTCATGTTGTTCCAAACCTATATTACTTATATGCTTACTTTCTCAAAATATATCATATGACACAAAGTTGTTATATGACTTCAGTAGACTTGTAATATGAACTGTTCCTTTCAGGATATATTTAGGAAGTTGTAGACCACTAATTCAGATTATTGCTCTTATTGGTCATTTTTTAAGATTGAATCTATCTGCTCACATAGTCTAATCAATTTTACTGTATTTTTTCCCCCAGGATGATATAAATGCCATGGAGCTGGAAGATGACAAGCGAGACCTGATTTCCAGAGAGATTAGCAAATTCAGAGACACACACAAGGTAACACACTACTTTATTCGATTTCTCTCTCTCCTTTTCTTAGCCTAGTCTGTGGACTGAAGACGGCCACATCTAGAGTACTCTAGACCCACATTATTATGACTGAAACTACACTTGATATAGATTAAAAAAATCACACAAATAAATCTGTAGGAATTTGATATATCCTGCCCATTTTAGACAGCTGCATGAGGCAATTTTTTAATCCAAGAAGCATCATTATTCACGTTTATTATAAATAATGCCTCTTTTGTTGTGTTTTTTTTCATCTAGCAGCATCTACGCAAAAGATCTAACAAAATGGATGCTTAGAAATTTGTCAGATTACAGCTTTAGAAGTTGTTCTCTGAATGAATGATTATAGAAAAGAGATTTCAGAAGCCTCCAAGATTGTTTCTCTGAGTGGCAACAATGGCAGCAGATGGGCAGGACCAGTTCAGGCTAGATTTACCACACAAAAAGTGCATGAACAAACTGTAAACCTCCCTCTAAAGCTAATCTGTTCATTAAACCCCACCATTATGGTAGAGGTCATATGGTGACTAAAGCAAGATGAATCTCAGAGCTTTGGAAAAAGTTGCTGGAATAGAGGATGTAAGTATGAGCTTCCTTTTCTATTCTTCATATCTTGGGCGCCTCCTTCTGGAGGATGCACAAAGGCGCAACTGGCTCTGTGTCTCAGAAATGTGGCAATGAGGATGCTATAGTGACAAAAAGATCCGCTGAAATGTAACATACTTTGATGTATTGACCTCAGGAGACAAACTGTAAATCTTGAGTTGTGTGCGTTCAGCGGAAGTTGCTCAATAAACCATATTTTTGGAAGGTGTTGTGTGGGCAGAGCTCAGTGAACCTTTGCGAGTCCTCTGTGTGAGAAATGCAGTACTGAATAACCACTGCAGTATTTTTCACTGCAGTCTGAGGGGGGCGCCCTTTCACAGCACGCTCAAAGCTGAAGATTCCCCAGGTAAGATGCCATATTTCTTTCATGTCCCATTCCCTCTTTCTCTCTGTTTCTATCTGTTGTTTTTTTTTCTTTTTTCTTTCTGTTGTTAGATTACATTTGATACAATAATACATTACAACTGTGATATGTTATCCGAATAGAATTTGCCCTTATTCTGTGTATTTGAGACAGTCATATTATGAGGAATCAAATTTTCCTTGTTCTACTTGAGATACAAGCTAATTGTATGATGGAAACAGACTCTAATCATTTAACAATGTAATGCCAGCTTATTGAGACTTATTGAAGTTAAAAACTATATTAAATCTTACAGCAAACCCATAACTTAAAAGGAAAGAAGTAAAAATACAGAAGTCAGTGCAAGGGTAGAAAATGGGCATGGACAGACTATTTACATTTTTAAGTGGAAAAAAAATAATAATAAAAGGTATTATCTATGACTACCCAAGGCATCCCCCTGACCTTAAAATAAGATATAAAATAAATATAAAATAAAAGCTACTGTCTCAACCAGTTGTCATTGTTTATTGAGAGGTAAGTTCACCAAAATTAAACTTTGCATATTAAACTTTTGGCTCATTAAAATTCAGTGACAGGAAAGTCAGTCCCACACAATCCCACTTCTTTTGTGTGCATCATTTGGTTCTCATCCTCATTTCTATCTGTTTCTCGTGCATTTCCTCTCTTTTGTCAGCGTTCACCATTCAGAGCAGAGTTGCTGTCCTCATCTGTCATTCAGTAAAGCTGGCAGTATCTTTTCTATTGCCCATAGCTATTTGAAACTCTGTAGCCTCTCTGCCTCTGGATGGTCAGCGTCTGTATTTATGTTTGTTACTTTTGTTTGGGTGACTGAGGCCTGAGGGACAACCGAAGACGACACTTGGGTGAGATTCCACCTCCCTGATTTAATTCATTTTGCCAAAGTGAATGTATTTGGATGATACAGTATATTACAGATCTCTGCCAAACCGTTTTAACAATGCATCAGTGATTAGAAATAATGAACATCGCTTTAAAATCTGATGGTAAATTATGAGAGAAATACACAGGGCTTGTTTGGAGTAAGGATGTACAAGGTCGATACTAATAAAAAAGTGTAGTATCAGTCAATTTGGTACCCAAAGACTGTCTGAGTGACAGGTGCGTATTTCAGTGTCTGAACGGTCACGTCTTGGTCAAAATGGCCGTCTTGAAGAGGTATTCATGTAAAGAGTCAGTTTGTCTTAAAGGAATGGACAAAAAATATCTTTGAATTGAAAATGCAGCCAAATAGATCTGTTGTTGTGCGTTATGTTATTAAAGGGGTCATATGATGCTATTTTAAAGATCATTA